CTGCCTAAATTTTTACTAATTCCGGGAGTCAGACAAAAATTGACTTTCTCGAGTTAGAGATTATCTCTGCTTTTATATTTGAGCTTATATAGATTCTGAAAAGGCACTTCTCCTATGGGAAGCGCTGCCAAAATTTTTTGAGTTTTGAGGAGTTAGGTTATATTTTGACAGGTGACGATTATTGTAGGCCGCCTGCACCAACTGTAGAGGGGGAGGGTACCCAAGGTCCCGGTTGCTTTCTAAGGCAAGGGGGGCCTTTGCCCTAGCCCATCTTCTTGTTTTCGTATGTGCCTCGTCTGCTCATTAGGGATTTTCATGGTTGGACGTTGTAGTCCGTGGCAGCCGTCAAAGTCAAACCTCTTGACTTTCGCCGAGGTCCGGGGAGGACTCACCCCCAAGGCCGCGAGAGACGACTACCACCACAGGCTCTAGACCTGTGTACCACCCGGTCTGCACAAGGGTGCAGAAGAGGGTGTGTGGTCTTCAACCGCGCATGGCGGTTGTCCAGTGTCGAGAGATTAACCCTCAAGGCCTGTGTCAGCCGACACTTGAGTGTCGAATGCGACCCTCGAGACTAACGAGGACCTCGCGAGTATTGGTACTACATAGTACACCATCACTGCGACCGCTTGCGTGCACTTGCATTGTGAGTCGATATGAGTTAGCCCTGCGTCGACCCTGTTTTATATCAAAGTTCCGCGCGCGACGCCTACTCGATTTCCGTATTGGGAAGTTATGGGACGGCTACCGAGGGGCTAGGAGCGTTGTCGCGGTTTTCGAGTAGTGCCCGCGTTGTTCGTGTTGTGGCGCATTGTACGTGCGTGTGCGTGTGCACGTGTGTTTTATTTTTGTGTTCGCAGAGTGGTGTGCGTGTGGTGCGTGGGATGCGTCCTAGTCGACCGACGACGGGCCGCGCCTGGGTCTTTAGCCCCCCAAGATGTCGGTTCGCGTGCGGGTCCGATAGGCGTATTACTGCGCGTACCCCCTATGCTACAGCGAACGAGGAATGCCCTCGGCTGGTCCACCTCTGCGATTGCAACTGATTAGCTCTCGTATTGTGGACTGGTAGCTCGACGGGGATACGCCCACCGATGGGAGGTGTCAGCTCCCGTAAGGTGGAGGTAAGTCGTGCCTCACGTAGGCCCTATCCTGTCGTAGGGGCTCGCGAGAGGTATGGCTGGCGCACTCGGCCGGAGCGGCCTAAGAAAGTTCCATTTGCGTGTTATGTCGAGGTTGATCCAACTCCTGCATGACGCGGCCGAGAGGGTCCCGTGCCGCCGTGTGCAGTGCCGGACCGATGCGCTTGACAGGTGGCGCCGTTGCCGGGGATAACGGAACCCTATCGTTGTCCCTGGTAGAACGACATCCGGGTATGGGAGTAAGAGAGAAATCAGGCACATGGGTGAGTAAGGGAATGACCATGGGTGGACTGTGTGGTGATTTATACGGCTGTGGGTTGAATGATTGATTTGATTGGCGGCTTGGTTGATAAGCTTGAATAAAACAAGTAGGTGAGGAAGTTTTATGGTGAGGATAAACTTTATCTAGGTGAGCCTAAAGGAAATAGGAAAACGATGTCTGCCAGGTTTAGGGCATGGGGTGTCTAAGTGGTCAAACCGATAGGGTCATGAAGGGTTGAGTCACTGAGTGGGGTCCTTTGTCCCATTGTCTCTTATAACAAGAAGATTGAAGTCGAAGGCGATTGGTCAAAATGCCAGAGGAGATGGCAGATGGCGGGAGGAAGCTTGTGACTCTCAACGACCTCATCGATGCCCTGGACAAGCGCGAGAGGGCGCCGAGCAATGTCCCGAAGGTCGAGACATTTCACTTCATGGGGGATCGGGTATCTGATTGGTTGGATCTGACAGAGCAGGCGCTGGTGGGACTGTTAGATGAAGTCAAGCTCCAGCGGGTCCTGAGGTATGTCCTGAATGTCACCATCGGGAAGTAACTAAGGTTGTGGACGTCGTCGATGGCAGTTGGACAAAGTTTGGGGACCTAATGCGAAGGAAGTACAGGCTGGGGGACGGCCTGTTGACCATGGCCGACTTGGAGGCCATGAATAAGGAATATTTCTCTACCATTGGGGCATTTGTGCACGAATTTAAGAAAAAGGCGAAGAAAGTGCACGGGATTTCTGAGGAGGTGCAGTGCGCCACGTTTTTGGGGCTGCTCATGGGCTCGGAAGCCACAGAGTTGACGAAGTATGGGGAAGGAAGTGAGAGGCTTACCTGGGCAACCATTGACAAGGGAGTGGAGAAGGGATCCTGGACCAGGTGGAGCAGCACCAAATGAGGCTGCAAAGGCGTAAGAGGAAGGAGAGAGATGCTACCGCATCCGGGACCCCAGGGGTGAAGAGAATTGTCACGGACGTGTTGGCGGCGCTGGGGTATGACAACGAAGCGGAGATACAAAAAAGAGGGGTCTTAGTGGCCCAGGGACGGGCATCAGGGGTAGTGGATGAGGAGGCTGGGCAAGAAGACTACGGAGGAGGGGAGACAGGTTCCCAAGCCCTGACTAAGGCCCAGAGGAAGCAGCGCAATCTGCTGCAAGGCGGGCAGGGGTCAGGGAAGGGACAGGCTCCCCAAGCCATTGCCGCACCACCGCCTGTCGCCTCGGCCGCGTCAGCGTAAGCAGGACCATCGCACATAGGGCCGCCTCCGACTTGCGGGCACTGGGTGCCGCATTGTCAGTCCGCGCCCTGACCCAGTTGCAACCACTTTGTTTCGTGTGGAGGGAGTCAGGCCCAGGCGGGGCACATGGTCCCCTATTCAGGCCCATCAGCAAATATGGGGCCCCCGAGCTACCCGGCGACTCAAAGCCAGCCCGTGGCCCAATCGCTGCCCTCCCAGCAGGCCTCACAAGCTAGTGTGGCCGGGGGAGGGGGCCAAGGACAAGGCGGGTAGGGCAATGGGGGTCGGGGCCAAGGGGGTAGAGGAGGGGGCGGCCGGGGGCGAGGAGGAAATGGTGGAGGCCGAGGAGGAGGCTGGAATGGTCAAGGGGGTCAGAACCAAGGTGGCCAAGGCAGCCAGGGAGGGGGCCAAGGGTATGGGAGGGCCCGCTTCGACTGGCGAAACGCAACTTGTTGGCATTGTGGCGAGGTGGGCCACATTGTACGATTCTGCCAACAGCGGCCGGATGACGAGTTGGCAGGACTAATCTCCACCTGTATGGATGGGGACATATACGATCGGTGGGGAAAGCACATTGATCCCAAGACCTCGGGAGGAATCAGGCAGGAAGCCCTCAGGCGAGCAGCAGCAGGGCCTCCAACGGCCCCAGCAATGTTCAGGATATGGCAGAAAAGGCAAGATCCGGGTGTAAGAGTCGAGGAGATTGTGGGTGAAAATGAGGAAGTGACTCAGCAGCTGAAGGCGAGGACTATAAAGGAGGTGCCCATAGTTGTTGAGTCTGACGATGAGGCGCAGGAAGTGGTGAGGGAGTTAGCCTCGACCATCCTGGAGAGGATGGAGGATCTGCTCACAAAGGTTGGCAGGTATCAGGAACGGTTGAGGGCGATGTGTGAGAAGGCGTGGGAATGGGAAATGAGCCTCCCTCAGGTAATGCTGTATGGGTCCGGTCCGAAGTCATCATCAGGACCGCAAGGGTGTCCAAGCGTGGCGACGGCCGGGGCAGGTCCTAGGTCAGGGATGACCTTCAGACCCCCTACGTCACATGGAAGGGTACTACAGGCCGTGCAGACTAGGGGCCAGAGTAAGGCTACTACCAGTCAAGGGCCTAGCCAGGCACCCAGTCGGGCGCCCTCTCGAAAGGACCCTGAGCCCGAACGAAGGAAAGAAGTGGTAGAGGTTCAAGAAGAGGAAGATGAGGGTGATGATGAAGAGGACGAGAGGCTCCGGCAGGAGGAGGACCGAAGAGCGGAACAGAGGGCCAAGAAGAGAGGGGCTCAGGGAGGGGCGGAGCCGAGCCTGCATGATGGGGTGCCAAAGAGGAAAAGGTACGCAGTCCGGCTGGAGGAAGGCTTTGACGTGGAGCGAATAGTGGACAAGCTCCTGGAGGGCCATAACGATTTGATGAACCTAAAGGACATTTTGGCGTCGGCACCAAGGCTCCGTGGCGAGCTGAAGGGGCGGCTCTCACGAAGGTTAGTGCCCAATGTCCACCTGAGCTCAATTCTGCCCAGGGAGATAGACTGGACAGAGGCGGGTACCAGGATGGATTGGAAATGTGTGGCATGTGGGTTGGTGGACTTGAAGGTGAGGGACCAGTCGAGCATTGCAATGGTGGACACGGACGCAGAGATGAATATCATCCGGGAGCGGGACGCGATGATGTTAGGGTTGGGAGTCGACCATTCATACCATGGCGTGCTGCATGGCGCCAACTGCAAGGCCATATTCTGTGGCACCGCGTCTAACGTGATGGTGGAGATCGGGAGGGTAAGGGCGCGAACGTGCTTCTTCGTCATGCCCGATGTCGACCTTGGTCTTCAACAGGCATGAGGGGACGATGATTCTAGCTCTATCCGATCCAGCCTGCGGGAATTACGAAATTATCAAGTGCCGGAACACAGGACCCGGAAGTGCGAGGAACAGGCTCAACCTTGGCTCCTTTACCTTCGAAGAGTCTGAGTACGCGCGGAGGAGACTCTGGGAGAAGCAGGAGGAGGAAGGACTGGGCGAGGTGCTGTCCCTGAGCCTTAACGATGTGAATAAGGCAATGGAGGTGGTGGCGGCGCATGATATGGAGGATCCTGAGGCCATAAAGTCATTGAGGGAGCAGGTCCTGGAAAGCCCTCAGGTGGGAGAAGTGGAGTTGATCTATCGGCTTCCCGGGAGGAAAGGGGACCCTCCGATGGCCCAAGCCCGAACGACAAGTCGGCCTTTTTTAGGGGAGGGCTTAAGCAGGGCTCCCAAAGGCGGTACAAGACTATAGATAAGAGGTGTCGCCCGATCCCCGTGCTTGTCACGGAGGACGAGGAAGTTTATTATGAGCGGGAGCGAGGGCTGATAAGGCGTATGCAGGAGCGCACGCAGGCAGGGCCATGCCGCATCAATAATGAGAATGAGGAAGGGCTGATAATTGGCAAACCTGGCTTCCTCTCGCCCCAGGAGAGGACTTTGATGGTAGAGACCATGAAGAGGAGGCATCGCGCGTATGCGTTTAATGATGATGAGCGTGGGAGGTTGGACGTGGATAAGATTCCAATGATACGAATCCATACCGTCCCACACGAGCCAAGGAACCTGAGAGGCGCGCGGTGCTCGAATCCGGATGAGAAGAAGAAGGTGGTGGATAACTTAGATGGGAAGATAAGGACGTATGTGGCGGATTACTCCAGTGGACGGTATGCTTCCCCCTGGTTTTGTTTTATCAAGCCAAACGGAACGCTGCGATGGGTGCAGGATTTGCAACGATTGAATGTAGTGACAGTGCGGGACGCGGGAGGATTGCCGAACGCGGACGCCCTGTCAGAATCATGCGCAGGGAGACCTATAATCTCACTTATAGACCTGTGTTCTGGGTATGACCAGTTCCCTGTCTACCCACCGGATAGACCGGTGACGGCGATGCATACGCCAAAAGAGCTGATTTACATGAACGTGGCCCCTGAGGGGTAGACTAATGTGGTGGCACATAATTAGGGTCATGCAGACGGTTAGTCCACATATCACCCAGCCCTACATTGATGATTTGGCGGTCAAGAGTCCAAAGGAGAAGGAGGAAGACGAAATGATGCGAGGCGGTTCGTCTGGAAGCACGTCCAGGATATCGATCAGGTTTTGGGTCTGCTGGAAGAACATAACCTGATGGCGAGCGGCCCTTAATCGAAGCATTGTATGAGGGAGGCCACGATTCTGGGCTTTGTCTGCAACGAGAAGGGGCGGAGGCCAGACGTGAAGAAAACGGATAAGATCCTAGAGTGGTCAGTCCCCTTCCAATCAATAACGGACGTGAGGAGCTTCCTTGGGACCTGTGGGTTTTGGAGGAGTTTTGTGAAGGACTTCGCCACCAAGACGGAGCATTTCAGGAAGCTGGTGCGTCAGGATCAGGAATGGGTCTGGGGCAAAGACCAGGAAAGGTTGTAGAAGGGATGAAAAGAGAATTCAAGGAAGGAGGTTTGGTGCTAGGAGCGCCAAACTACGAGGCCACGGAGGAGAAACCATTCGTTGTCGAGACGGACGCTGGGCCAACTGCCTTAGGAGGAGTCCTGATTCAGGCGGATGCTGATGGGAAGGAGAGGCCGCCGAGGTTTGAAAGCCGTACCCTCAATACGGTTGAAAGGAACTACTCGCAGTTCAAGAAAGAGACGTTGGCGGTGCTCCATTGCCTAAGGACCTTTCGTAACTATATCTTTGGCAGGAGGCTCATTTTGAGAGTGGACCCTACTACGCTTGCGTGTTCCCTGAAAAGTTATACTCTATCTGACCCAACTATCGCAAGGTGGTTGACTTACATTTGAATGTTTAACTTTGAGTTGGAAAGGATTCCGGGGGACAAGAACATGGCAGATGGGCTGAGCCGTATCAACTGGGATGGGGCGGGTCGAGAGTCAATTGAGGATACCCCACCAGTCGACGGGTTATTGGATCAGGAGGAGGATGTCCGCCTCCACATAAATGAGTGGTCGCTAAGGGTGCCTAGCTGCGTCACGTATCCTATATGGCTAGCACCAAGGGGGTACGAGCAGAAGGAGGAATTGGTCCTCAAGCCTTTCCAAGAGGAAGATCCGTGGGAGGATAGGGATGCTGGCTGGATGATGAGGTTGGCATTGACAGGGACACATAGTCTGGCGGAAGAGGTGAGGACGATAGAGGAAGGGTCAACCCAGGTAGAGGAGCATGAGCAACTAATGGGAGGAATGTATTTGCTCACCAACATGCTCCTGCAGGGGAACTTTAACCAAAGGAGCACAGTCGGTCCCGAGGAGGGCGAACTTCTTATTCCTGAGAGCCTGACGACGAGTTCGAAGAGGGAGAGATTAGGGAGGCCTTCCGTGCTGAGGAGTATGACGGGATCTATCGGGAATTGGGGTTACTCCTGTCGTGCAAAATAAGGGATAGGGACGCTAGTGCTAAAGCCTTGAAGATGAGGCACCTCTACGTAGTAAGGGATGACCATCTGTTTATAAAGCGACAGGTTGGGAACCCTAAGAGGATCGTATGTGGGAGGAACCGGCAGACCGATGTCATAGCGGCGTTACACGATGGTATAGCAGGGGGACACAGGGAGGTTAGTGCCACGTGCGCAAAGATAAATGAGTTATACCATTGGGATGGAATGTTGACTATGGTCATCAAGTAGTGCCAGTCCTGTGTACCATGCCAACAGAGGTCAGCGCAAAAGCCAGGGGAGCCTCTGCACCCCAGACTGGAAAGGGAGGTGGGTGCAGTCGTACACCTGGACCTGTCGTTCATGCCACTTGGGGAGGACGGAAGTAACTATATCTTCGACGCACGGGACAACCTTACCGGATTCGTGGACGGCCGGGCTATTCGTACGAAAACTGGCCCAGTTTTAGCAAGATGCATCGAATAGTACTACTTGCGCTATCCATTTGTCCGAGAGTTTGTGATGGACTGGGGGTTGGAGTTCACTTGTAACGAGGTGCGGACCTTGTTTGTGGGGTACAGTGTGGTAGCAAATTATACAACTGTCGTTTACCCCCACGCAAACGCGCCTGTGGAGAGGGGGCATAGTACCATCACGAACCTCCTGGCCAAATGGACGGAGGGAAAGCCTAACCGGTGGCCAAAGTTCCTGAGAGCAGCATTCTTCGTGGAAAATGTTACAGTGAAAAGGACTACCAAGTATGCGCCAACCACTCTATGGTACGGAAGGCATGCCACCTTTCCCATAGAAAGCTTCATGAAGACGTGGGGGCTCTAGGACTTGGAGGTGAACCTGTACTTTGAAGAGCTGCTCGATATACGAGAGCGGCAGGTGGGAGCCGCTGAGGAAAGCTTACGAGAGGCCGCTGGCCAGGTGGAGAGGATCCGTATGGAAGATAAAATGAGGTGGGACCAGATGACCCGAATAGGGAAGGATCTGCTAAAGGTTGGAGATGTGGTGCTGCTGTATGACTCCTCGCTGAAGAAGCAATGGTCTAGGAAACTCGACAAACGGTGACTGGGACCCTATAGGATCGTGCGGTGTGGCGAGTTTGGGGCCTACCAAATCGAAGAGCTGGATGGGGCAGGATGGCAGGACTGCGTATCAGGGACAAGGCTGAAGAAGTTCGTGGCCAGGGAATAGGTAAGGGGTCATAAGACCTCGTTAGGAATAGAGTCTTGCCTAGGTATTACCCAGGTCAGGTGATTAGATATGTGGATGATTGGGGTGGATGGGTGTGGAGAGTACGTAGGGTTTCCCTAGGCCAATGGCTCAGTTGTTGACCCTGTTGTGTGCCTGTTTGTTGTCCCTCTCCTGTTGTGCAGGTCTGACTTTTCGAAGGCAGTCATGCAGAGGGGCGGGAGGGACACACGGCCACGCCAGGGGCTCCAGAGGATGACGGGAAGGGGCGAGCAGCATGGGTCGCCTAGGAGGGAGCCTACGCCTGAGTTTGATGACGATAACATTGAGCTCTTCTTGGATGTATATCGGGACTATGCGGCACAGAGAGGGTGGTCAGTGGCGGAGAGGATTCACCACTTGAGGGGTATAGGGCGGTTCGAGGAGCCTGTCGCTCAGATATGCGAGGAGGCCTTGACTTGGCCAGATGTGGAGGCCGAGATGCAGAGGTTGAGAGCTTCCCCTAAGGGGCGTGACGGCATGCCCATTCGATTGGAGGAGGGGAACGCAGATGAGTTCCTCCCCGCATATGAGCACTACATGTTGAGTCTGGGGGTTGCGTAGGAGGAGTGGGTGCAGGCCCTACTTATCTGGACGAGGCAGGCGGAGAGGCAGGTGGCCAAACAGGTTCGGGAGAGGGCTCAAGACTGGGAGGACTGTCAGGCCCAACTCAGGAGGGCATTCGGACGACCACAACACGAGAGGCACGAGCCCAGGGTTGAGAGGCGACGGCGAAGCAAGAGGCCAAGAGAACCAACACCGAGAGAGGTGGGGCTGGCCAGAGAGAGGAGGAGGGCCCCAACACGGCAGGGGGATGAGCTCGCAGGGCCCGCATTGGCAGAGGAGTCGTTCCCCGCTTGTGGCCTCCGGGCAGTCGAGTTTCGGCGGATTACGAGTGAGGAGTTGAGATCGCCCCCACCATTGCCATCAACACAAGAGATGGACATACCAAGAGAGACGCCATTCCGAAGCTTAGCGACTCATCTCGATGTATCCCAATGGGAGGCCTCACGGCTGGGAGAGGGCTCAGTCGAGCCGGCGTGCTACGTGCCGTTGGAGGAGCTCTTGGACCCCGAGATGGAGACGGACATGCGAGACCGAGGGGAGCCGCAGGATCCTGAGGTGGCAGCCGAGCGGCCGGATCCGGTACGACCTCAAGGTGGGGATGTGATCATGGTTGGAAACGATACCCCGCCATGCTCCCCAGTTCCAGAGCCAGTACAACACTCGTGGCCAGAGGGATTCCTGAGCCAGGCAGCGAGGAGATTCCGGAGTCTCCCCCTGAGGCCACTGCGATGCCTAGGCAGGAGGTAGGGATGGAGGAGCACGGGGCGGGTGAGGGAGCGAGGATGGAGGCGCCCCTTGACTCGCCATCGGCCACACACGTGACCAAGAGCCCAGTTATCGAGGAGCCCGTTCCAGTGGATTTACCGTCGGTAGTGTCATGCACGAGCGAGGGGATGGGTATTGAGGCATCAACTCCGGAGGGCCAGAGGCCGCGAGTGAGAGGAGCCCCAAGAGAGACCTGCAAAGAGAGGTCCGCTCGAGTACAAGGCCGTCTGGATGAAATACACACGAGACAGGCTGAGATGGAGGCGACAGGGATAGAGCTGACACCGCCGGTCGAGCCTAAGACGAGCGAGCAGAGGATCGCCGAGTTGTGGGTCTGATATGAGAACCAGAGAGATGCGGTCCACCAGAGGTCACGAGTGGCAGGACAGGCGGACGAGGGGACGAGTGAGATGAGGGAGATGGGGGACTTGGCATTCTCTGCGACTAGGATGGCGATTGAGCGAATGGACAGGAAGATATGCGAGACGACAATTACATCCTTCCAGTGGTATAATCAACTCAGCAATGAGCTTAGGGTTAGAGAGTAGGAGGTGGAACACCTGATTACTCAGCTTGTCGAGGAGAGGGCGAGGACTCGGAGCCAGGCCAGAGAGGTTGAGTGGGAGAGGAGATTTAGGGAGATGGTGGCTGCCGTGGATAGGCTCTCGGCAGCCTGGGAGGCTAGCCAGGCGGGGCGAGCTGGTGCCGATGGCCACGACAGAGGGATGCGCGCCTCGCCGAGCCAGAGAGCAGCGGTGGAGGTCCCTCGACAGGCTGAGCCCGTGGAGGAGATGCCCCTGGACACGGCCGGAGAGGAGGGTGGCGCACAGGAGTCACTTATGGCTATGTCCACGGAGAGGAGAGGTTCGCGTTTGCATGAGCTGGCGGCAGCCATGGGGATAGGCACTCCACAGGAGAGGCCTCAGAGACTAGACGCTCCAGAGCAGGCCTCGAGGTTGGGAGAGTTGAGGGCGGACCTGGGCTCCTGGGCCACGGGGACGGACTCAGGAGGGTCCGACTCGTGGCAGCAGCAGCAGCAGGAGGTGATGAGTGAGCCCACCACCATGGTGAGCCCTCAGCCGTCAGGATCATGTGGGGATGAGGTGGTGGTTGGGACAGAGAGGGCTCATGAGGAGGGACCCCGAGAGTCGGGCACGCCAGACTGCAGGCCGACGAGCACAGCCGTACGAGAGGGTGAGGATGCTGAGGCTATGGTGCCCGGACCTCACGGCCATATGGGATTGCCCTCGTGCCAGGGGGTGACCACTGAGACCATGGAGATGCCTCCGACGTCGAGTTCCCGGGGGAGAAAGAAGAAGACTGCCTGGTGGCACGATACTTCCTGCTTTTGGTGCAAGGAGGGGCACAGAGTCGTGGACTGTTCAGAGCTTCTTGAGGATAAGGCCGAGGGGCGGGTTGCAGAGGTCGACGGCAAGTTGTATGACAAGCAGGGTAGGATAGTAGAGCGAGCTCCAGATGGGGGCAGGGCTCAGTTGTATAGGCAGAACTAGGAGGAATTATGTAAGTAGGGACCGGTCTGTCTGTGTGTCGGTAGGGTTATAATAGTGCGCACACAAGGGGCGAATTGGGGGTGTGCATATGTCTAATTGGATGAGGGGGCCCTAGATGTGTGCACGTTTTAGAGGTAGTAGGATGGGTCCTCGCCTGCTTGTACATATATAGTTGACTGAGTATTTTTTTATTTTTTTTGAGTTTTTTCTTCCATAGGCTACGGCTTAGGGCATGAGAGTCGGCCGTAGGACACATGGGGCTAGTCAGTCCACTTTTGATTTCACAGTGCGGAGACTACTTGGGTTTGAGAGAGACTTGGGTATGAGTTTTCCCTAGTTAGGTGAGGCAGAGGGTTAGGCACCCATTAGATCTTGAGTAGATGTTGTGTCCCCGAGCGTGTTCCGCGGGTGTACAGTGGGGTCGGGAACCATGCTCAGATGGACAGAGTTTGAGTTGAGTGTTTGTGTTTGAGTCTTGAGGGAGGCATTCTGCTCCCTGAGTGTATCATGAGCTGAGATTCTATGGGACTTGTTTTGTGACGACCACTATCACTCTCACATGTGTGGATTTATCCTGATGTATGATTGGCTTTGTGTGAGAGAAGTACAGGATACATCTCATGGGCATCATTATGTAAATTGTAAAGCTGTCTACCCTCCGGTATACTCGTGCGGCCTGCTGCAAGCGGACGAGAGGGCAGAGTATAAGGAGGGGAAGTGCAGCCTGTTTGTAAAAAACTGTGAGAATCCTACGGGATTGATGGATTCAGGAATTTGCATGTTTGGCCGTGCTAAACAACGTGACCTAAGTTGTACAGGGACCCAGAAGGTGGTCCCTCAGTTTGAGTTATTTGATGATTAAGACCCCCTTCATGATTCTGGAAGGTGGGGATTGCATTGTATGGAGGCCCCTTCATGGTTTTGGAAGAGGTCGCGTGAGGAGTCATCCCATACAAAAAGGGGATGGCCGTTAAATCTTTTGTGAGAGGCGCCCTTTACTAAAGTAAGGGTGGGTAAAAACTTGACTGGTATGGAAAACATTGTTTGTGTTGATAAAGTCTGACGAGAGGGAACCATGTTTGCTTGAAACATTTGAAAAGGGTGACAGATGCCTCAGGATGGGCGACTGCTGACTCTGATCAAGTTAGGAGCCGCAACCCTGTGAATCCGGCAGCGAAGGATGCCGTGCCTATTATAGGAAGGCCGGTAAATGCCTTCAGACCCCTGCGTAGTCCCGCAGCGGCCTGTGAGTTTGTTTGTGATGCCCCGCCTAACCACCAGTGTCAATCCTGAGACATATTTAAAGGAATATCAAGCTAACGGTAAAGCTTAGTGCCACCTGGGCGCAACCCCTAGTGGATGGCTGCTAGCTTGCACAACCTGGCTGCGGGCCCGCAAGGTAAGAGTTTAAGGGGAGTTGCCCGCCCCAGGGAAATTACTTCGCGGGATAAGAGTCGAGTCCTTTGGAGACCCTGATTGATTGATTATCAGGGACATACCTGTCGTTGTATAACCAACGGGAGGATACCGCCGCTAAGGTAACAACGCGGTGGGCCGTAGACCTGGCCCGATCAGCCAGGCTACGGTGGGCCCAGATGGGGACCTGGCATTTCTGTACTAGACTGCAGAAAAGCCCGAGAGAGGCTACAAGCTTATACGTGTGTATTTTGTTTGACTGTGAGAAATTTGTTGAAGAAGGCAAAGAATGCTTTCATAGGTCCCATTCGAAGCCCGCGTCCCTAGTTATGGCTCTGCTTACGAAAAAGAGACTAACCGGGACACCCAACGAGAGGCCGACGGTTGACTAGGACGAAAGGGGAAGAGGATGGTTTGAGGGCCTTTGAAACTTATGCTGTAGTATTGATGCGCAATACACCGGCGTCCTGGCGTCAAGACGATGGGGACCCAGGTTGAAACCCAGACAGCATATAGCTGTGTTGGCACGGTTTGACGGAGGCCTCAACCCTGAGTCTGTCGGCTAATCGGATTGGTTCTAATCTCGTCAGCACTTGGAATGTGAAGATGTCTATAGCTTTGATTTGGCGAGGCGATGGGGACGTCGCTTAATATGGTCCGGTAAATTGTCGGCGCGAATACCCTTACAAGGGTATCCGCCTTGGTTTTTGCAAGTGACAGAAAGGCTCGGTTAACCTGGATTTTAAGTGCCTCTGCAGGAAATGTGAGGGTCGTCCGCGCACGGGCAAAGGTCTGTCTTGTCCCAGTAGGGAGTATGTGGGCGCGCGATTTTTTTGGCATGCGTGTGATTTTTTTATATTAAGTGGGCGGCCAGGGTAGCCAACCGACCTGTACCAGGTTACGAGATTGGTTAGGGAATGCAAGTCCGTTTTTGGTTGGTGCGCGCGACCAACGGTAGGACTGGCATGCCGGTAGGCACGCGAGAGGGCCACAACGAGAAGTGGTGGACCGGCGCGGGCGCTTAAGGGTCGTGGGCACAAGTGCGGGCCGAAAGGGCAGCCGGGTGGTATCCTGGCTCGAAACGCCGCACGACGCCACTTTATATGGGGAGCCGCGCTTGCCAGTCACAGAGTTGGGCTTAGCCCTATTGGTTACGGTGTCAGGTTCGTGGTGTGGAAGTGTGAGGTTCGAGGCCAGCAAACGGCGACGCGGGAGCGATGGAGCAGCGGAGGAGCTGAGGGGTCGAGGGTCCTGCGGGACTATCCCCCGTAGTTTTGCTAAGGAGATCCGGTCGTGGGCCCGCCCTGCAGGGTTGCAGGATTTTTTTTGAGGGACCCGTGCCCCGTCCCGTCTGCCTTTATTTTTTTTTTTGCTTATCTTAACTCTTTGAGTTTTCGCCTCGATTCTACTGAGCCTTTTTTTACCGAGGGTTGGCCGGTGCTGCCTTTGCCTGGACCGATGACCTGGGCCATCGACCGTTACAGCGAGCGCACCTACGAGCCGCCGAAGGATGGGCCGGTGACGAGCCGGGGAAGGTCGCGCAGCCCCTCGGAGGTGCTGTGGGAGGCCATCGCGTGTGGGTCCTTTGGGACAGCCGTTAGGATGGGGAGGATATTGGGGAGGTTCGCATGGCCCCTACGTAAAAATGATGTGTGAAGAGTCCGAAAATGGACCCGGACGTGAGCCGGGCTTGGTGCGCGGTCGAGATAGTGAGGGGAGAAGGCCGGATGGCCTTTGGAGATGTTGCGAGGTACTCGCCACAGTGAAAGTCCCCGCGGCTTCGGCCGAGATCGGATCAACGAGATCTGTATGATGATGGTGCGAAGGCTAAGGAGTTTGAAACGGGAAGGGGTTGGACCCGGCGGTAAGCCGGGTTCGGTGCATACCAGAGAGGAAGAAGGGGTGGGTCGCTGCCCACAATTTTTTTTTGGAAGATCTGTTGGGGATCGGAGTCGCTGCGTAGGGGATTTGCACGGCCATTGTATGCGACAGGCGCGCGAGAACCTGGGGATGTACCCGGACAGGAAACAGGGGCGGTGTAGAAAAAGGTTAGCCTGGCCGTTGGGTGAGATCGCGAAGCCAACAAATGGAGGGAATCCGGGAATGAGCCCAGGCGAAAGAACGGGAAAAGGGGGAGAGGCCGTGAGGCCGTTAGCCGCGCCGAAGGGTGTCACGCGGCGCAAGTCCCCGGGGCATCTGCTGAGAAGCGACACGGAGGGGAAACCGCTCCGCCCCGGTGCAAGGATCGTGTAGAGGGATCTGGGAAGAACCCGGACGCAGGAGGCGCCGGGTGCACCTCAAGAAGATAGAGGGAGGGGCGTAAGGGCAATCAGATTGTCCCACGGTTGGATACGCTCGGCGGCTGCCCGTTGCGAATAGCAAAGGGGGCACCTGCCGACCCGAGGTCCTTTGGGATATCTGCTAAAATTGGAGCGATACGGAAAAGATTAGCATGACCCCTGCGCAGGGAAGGCATATATAAAAGTCGGAAGAGGAGAGTCCGACAGCGATTGACTTTTTTTCTTTCGTCTCGTAGCACTCGAATGTTGCCGGGCTGTGCTGCGACGGAGTAGGGGAAACGAGGGTGAAGCCGACGGGCGTGAAGAAGGGCACGGGCCGTGAGGAGAGAATTGGAGTGAATACGGACGTGAAGCGGCACCGGGTGCGTGCGGGTGGTGGTGAAGAAGATGGCGGGTAGCGGGCAGGTCGCGGCGGGATACGTGTGGCTCGCTCGGCTCTTAGCAGAATCGGGCCGGCGGAGAGGCGATTTGGGGGTTCTGACCCCGGGCGAGTTAGATGGCGGTGTTAGATTTTGCCATAGAGTAGTGAGTTAGTTAGTGGGGAAGAATAATGGTGCGCGGAGAGGTTGGGCATTGCAGACGAAGGAGTTCATAACCTATACTAGTCCTAACAAAAATGAGCGGGGGAAAGTGTCAGATCAGGGTTTTCGGCGCTCGCGACCCCGATCCTGTGGTTGGGTTATTGAGGAAGCTAGCGTAGGGGGAGTTAGTAGGAAGGAGCATCGCGCGAAGCTGTTAGGAATCATGTATGATCGCATGAGGGGTTGAGCTCCTCGATTCGAGTTCGGACGAAACCGAATCTGGGAGGTTGCAGAGGAGAGGTTTTAGGGTCGGGCGGATTGGAGTAGGAGTTCTGTCTCTGGAGTTAATGAATGGGCTCGAGGTGGAGGGATTGAGGGTTGCGCGGCAGTGAAAGCGAGGGTGCGGGGAAAAGAGAGGGAAAGGTGCCTGGCCCTGTTTCGCTGGGAGATTCGCCCGACTTAGCTCACTCGATCGGGCGGGGTAACAGGGAAAACCGAGGTATTTACCTCGTATCGCTCACGGCGTATGTGCCAGCGCACATAGTAGGTACCGACCCCTATTCTAAGTAAAGACTATTTCCCATCTTGTACGCTTGGTGAGTGGATGGGGCTTGGCAATGGGGAGGACTGCAGTCGTTGTGCCCTCCTTCTCGGCCGATGCCCCGCCTGTAGTTTGCCCACGCTGAGTGTGGTTATTCTCCCGCTCGTGTTCACGGACGCGGTGTTGTTGGCCTGTAGACGGCCAGGAAAGGGGGGGATAAGAGGAGAGTAGGGAGGAGCGAGGCAGCGAGCCAGAAGGCTTGTAAGGTAGCCCGTGGGGTGCCCAGCCTATCGGCAACATCGTAAGTGAAGCCGACCACGGAGACTGTATGCTTACCTGCCAGCTGATACGTTGGTCGCTGCCGAGTGAAAAGGCTAGGGGCGAGGAACGTTGGAATTCAGAAGGATGATTGAAGTATGAGGTGGGCTGTTGTGGGGTAAAGGTTCGCGAGGGGTGTCCGGGTTCAGCGGCTCAGCGTCAGCTTGACCAAGCTATTACATTGTCTTCCATTGCGGGGCCCTCAAGCGCTGAAGATTTGAAGGCCCTCTCGCGTGAGTCTGAGTGTGTCCTTCCTGAGTCTGAGAGTCTTACT